TGACGTTCAATTTTTGCGGTTTAAGTGTCCACATGTAGCTTTCTAAGTATTGGCATTGCTCTCATACCTAAATTCTAAACCAATTGAGAGTTAGATACCCAAACCCAAAATGATATCTTTTCTTTTCAAAACAATAACTAAAGTGTCCAAATTCACATACTAAGTGCCAATAACCATGAAACCACTTGAGTTTAATCAAATAGACCATAAACAAACCACAATAACACTATTCTAGACACAAATTGGCCATCCAAACCATAATTTAGCATAAATTTAAAAGTGATAACAAACATATAATAATCATTCAGATGGCCAATCAAATATATGAACTGACACAAAATGATATTTGGACTAGTATCTTGACCTTTCATAGCCATTACAACACAAATACAACATTTTTATGTCAAGATCCCCCCACTTTTCATTAAAATTCATGCAAATGCTCTCAAAGTGACATATGATTTCTAAGTTGGCATATGCATAAATTATTCATTACAAAACTAAAGGACATAGAAAGGACTATAAAAATAATATCGAAGCCTTTACCTATAAAATATAATCACGGGGTGAGTCGAGGACTCAAAAGCTAAATAGTCTAATCTAACTATTCATGTGAGAGAACAGATAGTGCGTATGTGAAGTTATATTAAAACATATAATAAGATACACCTACATTCATATGGTTATAGTATGATGTGCATGATCCACACACCACCTTATATCCTCTTTATCTTGTAACTGAATCTATAGACTAATAACTTAATAAGACTAAATTTGTATGACTGGATTGGCCTAAGCTCACCATTAGTAAGAGGCAACCCCGGCAAAGAGCACCTTCATCCATTATAGATAGCAAATTTCCCCTATCTACGAATACTAGCTGTGTCAATGCCCAATCTACCTCACATAGTACTGGGACTTTCAAACAATATAATACTGAGCACCGGGACCTCCATGGTGTTTGCATACCATATGAATTTTCAAACAATATTCCTAATAACACATTAGGGTGAACTCCTACCCTCTCATAATGATTATGCCAAATATATGCTTAGTGATTTTGCATAGCTATGATATATAATTTCACCATTTAATCATTTCTACATATATCCATAACAACAAGTTTTCATTAAAACGATAGAATTTCGCAAATAATTGTACTTGAATATAAGGTTTAATAGTCCAAATCCACAATATTCAAAGCACAATTTTCATTCCACTTAACATAGGGTTTCTAAATCATAATCATTTTATATTAATACTGTACTAGTACAAAAAAAGAGCATTAGCTTTAAAAGTAATCACACAACCATCCAAACACGTAAATAGAGAGTTTAAACAATTCAGTTATCTCAGTCCTTTTGTCACTAAAAGGGTTATCGTGGTCAAACAATGGCTCTACACATGTCAACTATCACCACAATGCTTACTCAATAGTAGATCTACAAGATCAAACTCTTAATCCTCAATCTACATACTAATTATCCCATTTTGAACATAATTTTAGGTACCTATAATACTCAAAACCTTGATTTAAACCCATCAATTCTCCTAATACACTCTATTAATTCTATTTAATACCCAACCACACTAAAAGCTTTAAATCCCTACTCACATTATTCCCAATCTCTCCATTTTTAGTTAGGGTTCGTCTAAACCCTACCCAAAAACTTCAAATCACTATATAGTCCTTAAATCTAAGTTTGACTTGATTTAACTCTTTAAGACCATAACTAAGACAATGGGTTTGGTTATTATCCAAGAAACACGAAATCACAACCCTATAAAACTCTAATCCTCATAAAATTCGCATAAAGGGAGAGAAAGAGGTGTAGGAAGCTTACCTAAAGACAAATCTTCTCTAAATGCTTCTAAGTTGATCCAAAAGTTAAGCCTTAGCAGCCTTAGGTCGTTGTTCGTTGCTTTCTTGCATTCACTCTTCTCCTACTTCTAATTTTTAGTTTGATTTGAGAAATTAAAGAGTGCAGATTTTGCAGATACGCCGTGAAGCATGGCATAGAGTCCTACACACGTTTGTACCTCTATCCATGCTATGACCCGCTCGAACATCGATATAGTCCTCTTTTAAGGCTGTCCAATGATCTAAAAACTTCATTAGTCTCCTAAAAATATCATTGATTAGTAATTCACCTAATTTGACCAAAATGCCCTCTTAAACACTAAAATTTCCATAATCAAAACCCAAGATGTTACATTAATCTTCTCCTTTGCAATTTTTCTAGCCTGAAATGCTTTGCTAATTGAGGGTTAAGCCATAAAATCTTTTCTTATGGTTGCTTGCACATCTGACAACTTAATATATTTATTAATCTTCATATTATCAACTATTTTTTCAGCAATCCACTTTGATCAAGCCCTCTTTACATTGATTTTTACTCCACATGCATGCCTTGAATTTAATGTCTTTAGGCGATAAGTCAATAAGTCACTCCTATTTTAAGACTGTAGCTTCATTTCATTTAGCAATTTTCTCATTGGATAAAAATCTCGCCTAATCTTATCTCCACTAAAACATTAACCTTGGTCCCATCTTCATTCAAAAATTTAGGAAGAAAAAAGATTTAGAGCAACATAGCATAAGCATGGTATCTCGACTAACTTAGAGGGAGAAAAGATGATGAAACAAAGAAGACCATGACTCTCTTGACTAACCTTATAGGGCTTGACGATGATGATTTTGTCTCCTTCCCTGTGTTGATATTGAAAATCAATGGAACAAAAGAGACAATGCCAAACCTAAATGTAAAGCTTATTGGTTACGCTTCTTCATGTCTTCAGTTTACACATGAGCCAAACTAGTTTCTTATCTCAAATGTTTTTGTTTTTATTTTTGGTGCTTGCTTAGATTTTATGGAAACAAAATCCCCACTAGATTGCCACTTAATTGTTATTTAATGGAATTTTTAACACCATTCGCACTTATTAATGGTTTTAAACAAAAAGGACCACTTGATGTAACAAAATAAACTTAAAGGACTCAATAAAAAAAATTACAAGGACCTGATTAAAAACTCAGGAAACTATAAGTTTTGGGAGATTAATTTCCCATAATATTAATAATTGATAATAGATTGAAACCAGCGTATTGATTTCTTTTCAGGGAAACACTAACATCACAAGATATTAATATTGAGAAATGCTCCTAGCTAGCGATGATACACATAAGACGTAATTGATTAATTTACCGATATCAAAAAAATCAGTTAAATTAGTTATCAGCTATTATTACATAAAAAATGTGTATCATTTTTCTAAGTTATATGCTTAAAGTGAAAAAAACATAAAATACCAAAGTAAAAGTGGAAATAAGTTAATAAGAGGCCTAAAATCTTAATCCAATCAAGTCAAATTAGCTTAAGGATTAAGGATAAAGTTTTTCGACCGTAATATGTCGTGGAAATAAGTTGAAGGGTCTATCAAAAGCTTATGGCCTGAAAATAAGTTCATGCCTGGCCCCGTCTATCCAAAAAATAGGCCAGGCAAGGCCTATGCCTATTTTTGCAAAGCCGGACCGGGAGCCTTACTTAAACAGGTGAACATATAAATATGCATATTTAAATAAATAGTTATATATATAAATACACATATAATTAAACCCTGGTATGTATACCTCTATTTAAGGTCAGGTCTATGCCTGTTCGGTCAAAATCTTGCGTGCAGTCTATTTCTACCCTTATGTGGAAGACAAAAAATGAGAAAAAATGTAAAATTAATGAGGATAATATGAAAAATATATTAAATGAGGGAGATAAAAAAGAAGATGGTTTTCCTATATTTACCACGAAAAAAAATACTTAAATTAGGTTTTATAATTTGAACCAGAGAGGGTAGCGGTGCCAATTTTTTAAAAGTCAACAGAAATATATGTACTGTGAATACGAGTGAAAGAAACTCCTTTGACTTGCTCAAAAATATAATAGAGCTGAAGGTTGTTAAGGTCGTTACATTCCAGGCATATAATGACATGATGAAGAAATTATGACTTTTGATGATCACTTAATTAAGACTAAATACTGCATAAAAGTTGAAAGAACCCAGACTTTTTTTTTTTTTGGGATAAGATTGATTAAAATTCATTCATGAAACATAATGAAAGGACAGAGCCACATACAAGTGGGCCCTCTCATTTGAGAAAATTACATAAAATAGATATGAAATTTTAACTTTCGCACCTCTTTTTCTTCATATTTTGCACGATACTATATTTTTAATATTCTGAACATTAAATCCATTTGATTCCTTTTCTAATCTAAATTTTTTAAGTTTTTAATTGCTCTGTCATGAATGAAGAAAGGGAGTGCTTGGGTTTCATAAGCTGGTGACATATGCGTGGGGACAAGAAAGACAAGTATTACGCCAAGTTGATGTTATCTTTCGTTAAACTTTGATGATCCAAAGACAATGAGATACCAGCCAAAACCTTGAGGACAGAATCTTCAAATCTCTTTAATTTCGGCCGAAAAAAAAAATTCTGAAATTCGTCCCCACTATGCCGACCCTTTACGAAGATAATCTTAAGACTTGACATTCTGAGTATGGTCTTTCGGTTTTCCGGAAAAATCACTCACGGTTTTCACATAAATAATTGAAATATAAAAAAAGTCCTGCGAAATCACAATACTACTCTTAAGTTGTTAATGAATGCTAAATAATTGTTACTGGAAGTAATTTAATGATTTTATGGAATTTTTATATTTATATTGTTTTTATGAATTTGAGAGTGATTTGTTAAAGTAGAATAAATAAGTAAAGCACTCTAGGTTTAATATACTGCAAAGTATAGTGAAAAAGTCATATATAATTTAAAAAAAAAACCGAAATGGTTATAAAATATGACGAAATTCCATTTTAAGAAAACTAGGTGTCCAAATCAAGGAGGTGGCAATAACAACAATAATGAAAGGTAGGATAGAGGATATCGGGAGGCGATTAAATATAACAAGGTGTACGTGGAGTTTCACGTACGTATATGAGCAATCAAACAACAAAAGAAGGCCATCATCAGCAAGAAGGATTGTGGACATGGAAGTGGATGAAGGAAGGAGCTATGAGTACGCGCAAGACGGAGCTGTGGATCTTAAAGGCAGACCTGTTCTTAAATCCAAAAGAGGTGGATGGAAGGCTTGCTCCTTCGTAGTTGGTCAGTACACACACACACACACATTTATAGTTTCTCTTTACAGTTGATGGATATCTTGTGGATGAACGAACGCAGTGTATGAGGTATTTGAAAGAATGGCGTATTACGGTATATCAACGAATCTGATCATATATTTGACTAAGAAGCTAAGGCAAGGCACCGTAAATTCCGCCAACAACGTCACCAATTGGGTCGGAACCACCTGGATCACTCCCATCGTTGGCGCCTACATCGCCGACGCCTACCTCGGCCGCTACTTCACTTTTCTTCTCGCCTCCTTCATCTACCTCTCTGTACGTAACTATATATCCCTTCATATTTCTTCATTTCATGATCTTTTACCTACCTCGGAATCCTTTGAAAAAATCACGCGTAATCTCTGCCAGGGTATGTGTTTGCTGACACTATCGGTTTCACTTCGAAGCCTAAAGCCGCCGCCCTGCACCGATACGGACGTGACAATGTGCAGCAAAGCCTCACCGCTGCAACTGGCCGTCTTCTACGGTGCACTCTACACTCTTGCCATCGGAACCGGAGGGACCAAACCCAACATCTCCACCATTGGAGCAGATCAGTTTGACGACTTCGACCCAAAGGAGAAGGTTCAGAAGCTGTCCTTCTTCAACTGGTGGTTTTTCAGCATCTTCTTCGGCACGCTCTTTGCCAACACCATGCTCATCTACATCCAAGACTCTGTGGGGTGGACTCTGGGCTATGCTCTTCCAACTCTAGGGCTTGCGGTCTCCATCTTGATCTTCTTGTCAGGCACCCCCTTCTACAGGCACAAGTTGCCTTCTGGGAGTCCCTTTACTAGGATGGCTAGGGTCATCGTCGCTGCTTTCAGGAAATGGACAGCCAAGACTCCTACTGATCCTAAGCAATTCTATGAACTTGATTTGCAAGAGTATGTGAGGAAAGGAAAGTACAGTATTGATTCCAGCTCAACTTTGAGGTAGCTAATTTTCTATCCAGTTATGAATGATGCTTGGTTTATACAATCAGGATATAAATTATTAATTTACTTTCTGTCACTATATACAAAGTGTCACCTATATAACCCAATATATAACTGTTTGCGTGTATGTGCAGGTTCTTGAACAAGGCGAGTGTAAGAATTGGAACAAGTTCAGTTAGTAGCAGTCCATGGATGCTCTGCACAGTTACGGAAGTAGAAGAGACCAAACAGATGCTAATGATGATCCCAATATTGCTAGTCACCATAATTCCAAGCACAATGATTGCTCAGACAAACACGCTCTTCGTAAAGCAAGGAACCACCCTAGACCGACACGTGGGAAACTTCGAATTTCCACCGGCAAGTCTAAACGCATTCGTCACCATCTCCATGCTCACCTGCGTCGTCGTCTACGATCGTTTCTTCGTAGGCGTGATGCAGAGACTCACCAACAACCCCAGAGGCATCACACTCCTTCAAAGAATGGGAATAGGCCTGGTCATCCACATACTCATAATGGTGATCGCTTTTGTCACAGAAAGGCAAAGGCTCAGAGTCGCCAGGCAACACGGCGTGGTGGAAAAAGACGGAGAGGTTCCTCTGAGTATTTTCATTCTGCTTCCTCAGTTCGTGCTGATGGGATGCGCCGATGCGTTTCTTGAGGTTGCCAAGATAGAGTTTTTCTACGACCAGGCTCCCGAGAGCATGAAGAGCCTTGGGACTTCATATTCTCAGACATCTTTGGGGATTGGGAATTTTTTCAGCAGCTTTCTACTTTCAATGGTGTCGCGCTTGACTCAAGCTGGTGGCCACCGTGGGTGGATTCTGGACAACCTGAATATTTCTCATCTGGATTACTACTACGCCTTCTTCGCTGTGCTCAATATTATCAACTTCGCGATCTTCCTGGTTATTGCCAAGTTTCATGTGTACAAGGCAGAGGTTTCGGATTCCATCAAAGTCCTTGAGCAAAAGTTGAAGCAGAAATCATCAGTGCATGGTGACGGCGGATAAGCAACTAGCGAGCCAGGAACTTGAGCCAAGTCTATAATTATAAAAAAAAGGCATGTTATGTATTTCTACTGTGATGTGAAAGAATACCAAAAAGTTCTCTCTCTTTATTTTTATTCTCTCTTCTCCATGCTTCTGTTACTTTTTGAAATATGCTTATTTCACTACAATGATTTAACTAAAGGCTTAAGAGGCAAAAATGCTTCAAATTTTTTTTTAAAGGAGCGCTCAATATATTTTTATCTTAGAAAGAATAACGTTGTCCTGAAATTGTTAAAAATTGAACAATGTTACCTTATTCTAATGTTTTGACTGACGTTTGACTAATCAAATGTTGAAATCATGGCAAGCGACTGGCACTTTGGCCAAAGGAAAGAGAACTAGATTGTTTCAGGTACCCTATATTCTCATATTTTCAGAATGAGGAAGATGATGAGATTCATTTCAAGAGGAGAAAGGGACAAATCAATCAAGGGAGAGGAGGAGAGAATCTGAGAGCTGCCATGGTCTTCGTGAGCTTGGTGTGCAAGTCCTATGGTGTCCCAAGTGTTGGCAAAACTCATACGATTCACAGTACAAATCAAGAAGGAAGAGAAAGGATTTTGAAGGAAAGTGAAATCTGAAAAATGGAATTCAAGATCAAACACAAAGGAAACGCAACAGAAAAGGAAACTCAGACATTAAACACAAATTAAAGGAAATAGCATCATATCTGGTGTCTGGTTTTCTTCGTCCAGATACTTGGTCAAACCATATCAGAGGCCCGGCTAACGTAGCTGACGCGATTTTCGATCCCACCTCTGCAACAGTGAATCTCAAAATCTTAGCCAACGCAATTTTCGAATCAGAGCTGCCTCATTAAAGAACAGGAATGGGACGAAATCCAAAGCTGTGACAAATTCTCTCATAAGTATACTTTTTCTCATAGGAACATCATGAAAACTAATATTAATTAGCAGGAAATCCAACTGGATGTGGGGAAGGGAACAAGACGACATAGTATGGAGCAAACACCTCACTTCATCGGGCATGAAAGCACGGTCAAGGACATTAACAATAGGTAAGAGCGTGCCATCATAATCTATCCTTCTTGAACTGAAATTCTTTTGTGGGTTGAGCCAAATCAGAACTCTCCAAGGCTTTGGCAGACCCTCTTGGTTTGTGGAAAAGGCCAGATTCCAAGATCATTAGACCCCGCTCTAGGCCAGCCTTTGGCACACTGTTCCATGGTGGAGATAGGATAAAGAGGAGGCAACAATGGGCGAGGCTTACTTTTTGTTAGAACCGGTAATTCGGGTAAAGTTCCAAACCTACTTGAAAAAAGTTAGGACGAGTTATGCTATTTAGGTTTTTTTTTTAAAAGATAAAATACTTTAAATTCGATCTAAATAAATTTGACCTAAATTGAACCTGACTCGAATAAGTTTGATCACTGAAATGTATAGCTCTATATGTATATAAAGTTGATAACTTTAACCAAATTTAATGAACCAACTTGAATTCAATCAAAAAAATTAGGGCCGTACTTTATTATATAGGTTTTTTTAAGAGAATGTGATATTTTAAATTTAATTTAAATAAGTTCAAATCAAATTAAACTCACTCAAATAAATTCACCTCGTTCAAATTACGAACTCTACTATTTGTGGGTGGTCGACAGTTTTGGCTAATGTTCGTGATGAGGGGGAGAAGGAGAGAGAACGAACAAAGAAAAGGCTGGAGATGAGAACCAGTATTTGGATTCAGGAGTTTGCTTTGGGTTTTGGGTTTTGATTTCAACTTGGGCCTCACAAGGTTGCCACGTTAAACGACAATTGTGTTATCTTGAGAGGTTAAAAATATTCTGTTTGCCCAACGTTAGTTAGAGATTATGGAGTGACACTGCTTCTCTTTTACTATCATTGCTCCTTTTAAAATATAAGAATATTTGGTGCTCTTTTGAAAAGATTTTTAAAACATTTTTATCCCTTAACCCATAACTAAATAATAGAGCTGAAGACCCTAAAGTTCGTTTAGGATATAAACGACATCAACAAGCAGTAATAGTTAAAACAAATCTTATCCAATCACTTTTGATTCCGTCAAGACTAAATTCAATCACAGGATCTAGAATATAATTAAGGAAATGCTCAGGTTTGAGAAGCCTGTGTTGTGGCGTATATGTCCGGGGGGATTAAGATTAAGCAATGCCAATTTGCTTAATTGAAATTCACGCTCTCTTTGATAATTAAACAATTCTAACAAACGATCCAAAGACGATGTATCGTTATTTCTGTTGGGATTGCGCCTGCCATCCAATAATCCCGTACGAGTGACGAGGCAGGATTTTTAAATGGGCAAATGACATGCAAAGACTCTCTAAAAATGTTAATCACAATCAAAGACCTCATATTTTAGAAAATTCCAAAAAATCAAAGTTCTTAATATGAGTTTTTTTTTGGACTTTTTTTTTTTCAGTCCTCATCTGTGATACTTTTAGTACAGATCTTTGATATATTTATCACTCATCAGTTTGATGTCTTCAATACACATGCAACTTTAATATTTTCAATACTAAAACGAATTAAAGTGTTTTTTTAATACTAAATGCATAAAATATGAGTATTTAAAATATTAATGATGAGTATATATATTTTTTTTGAAAAAAACAAGTATTGAGAATATTAAAATGAATAGTGAAAAAATTGATTAACTTAAATTTTAATACCAAGAATCATGGTCCTTTTTTGGAATATTTAAAAATCATGGACCTTAATTGCAATAAATATTTTATAAGGTCGTTAAATGTCATTTGTCCTTTTTGAATCTCTTAATTTTGAACTGGCGACTGTATGCCAGCTGCTTTGTCACTTAAAATTAAACTTTGGTGATTTCAAATGTAATATTATTATCATCCTTTCACAAATATACTACTGATAGCATATTATTTTTTAATTATTTATAAGTATGTTTCTATTGAAGAGCCAAATAATCTTATTTAAAGCTCAAGCACTAGCAAGAATTCGAATAATGATAGTATGTTATTTATCATAATAATAATTATTCTAGCCCTTACCCTGTCACGAGCAGCTTGCACGCTTATCATTTAACAGGAGGCACGTACGATATTACATATAAACTTGGGTTTGACTATGATGGCAATGAGATTAATAAAACAAAATATACAATAGTGCCTCAAGGATGAAAGGGTCAAAAATAATTTAAAAGAACAAACTAATTAATTAACAAACAAGCCTTTTTGCTGCTGCCAAGAGTTATAATATGAAAATAAATACTAGCATTGTGGAAATGAATGAGGAGGCGATGGCATGATAAAGAAGAAGATATATAATGAAGGTACGTGGGGAAAGAGGGGGAAATTAAAAGAAGGAAAGTAATTAAAGCAGAGAATTAGGATTTAATTATGGAAGAGGAAGAAGGAAGGAGCAGTAGGGATGAGTACACGCAAGACAGGAGCGTGGATCTTAAAGGCAGACCAGTTCTGAAATCTAAAACTGGCGCATGGAAGGCTTGCTCCTTCCTTGTTGGTTAGTGTGTGTGTGTGTGTTCATTATCATGTTCCATTCATTTATTATATGCCTTCCATTTTCTACGCTCCCTTATTTCTACCTTTCATAACACGCGTTCCAATATGGTTTCCTCTTGCAACATGATCATTTGGCATTTTTGGGACCCTGTGTTTTGTCAACAGTTCACACCTCCGTATATACATGCCATTATGATTATTTCAAACTAATTTCTATTATCTGTTGTTATACGGTTTTTCCTTCGTTTCTTTACTCTCTCTCTCTCTCTCTATATATATATATTGAGAGAGAGAGAGAGGTACCTTCATTTCATTGTGCATTTTCATTAATCCCTCCTCTTTCGTTCATCAACTCTGTTCACTGTGCTCTGGCTTCATCATGACTAGCTTGCATCTATATATCATCAAAGATTTCCAAAACAAAGTATTTTCGCCTTTAATTTATGTGATGTTACACACTCACTTATATGAATCATGGATAATTAATTGGCAGCTAGCTCTTATTGCACTCACCATGCAATTATACAGATGCTTGCGATGGCCAAATCGGCAAATCGATCAGATCTTGGGTTATGGGGCAAATTAAAAGTGTTTTCAGTCATTTTCTTAAATATTATGCTTTAAATATATTATTATGTTATAATATGTCGTTTAAATAAAATCATTTCTTTTGTACCTTTGGAGATGCTGGAATAAGAGGGAAAATAAAAAATTAAAAAAAAAAAACATTGCCTCACATATACTATTATATTTTTTGCACCGCTCTCCTGCCGATAAGAATTCCTTACTTTGATTTCCCATTGATAAATGTCAGGTGGTTTTCTTTACCATTTGATTGTTAATGATTAATTCAATGGTTCCTCCATAAAAAGCTTATGATGACAGGCTTGTATAAAGAATCTAAAGTTCCTAAGAATACCAATAAACTAAGCATACTAATTGCTACATCTTCACCTCAGAAGCCCTGAAATTATCTCAGCATGTACTCGATCTTAAAATATATTCTAGAAAAACTTGATGATGGAAAACTTGAGAGATTTTGTTTCCTGGTTCAGCATTGAGTTGGGACATCCCGGGGGTGAGGATATCACTGTTAATTTTATGTTATATCTGTGTGTGTGTATACACAGACCAATATTTGTTAAATCATTATCACAACTAGTATACATATACATGTAGTTTCTTCTTGACAGTGCTGCCATTGTGAATGTATACCATATATAAATGAAACGATGTGAATGAACATTGAATGGCAGTGTACGAGGTGTTTGAAAGAATGGCGTATTTCGGGATATCCACAAATCTGATCATGTATTTGACCAACGAGCTCCAGCAAGGGACCGTCACCTCCGCCAACAACGTCACCAATTGGGTCGGCGTCACCTGGATCACTCCCGTCTTCGGCGCCTACGTGGCCGACGCCTACCTCGGCCGCTACTTCACTTTTGTTCTCGCCTCCTTCGTCTACCTGGCCGTGACTACATATATCCCTTCTTGCTTCTTCATTTCAATTCATTCGTTGAATACATCATCCTTAGGCCCCCTTTTTAACTGTTGCAGGGTATGTGTTTACTGACGCTTTCAGTTTCACTTCCAAGCCTCAAGCCGCCGTCGTGCTCCGACACTGACGCCCCAAACTGCGGCAAAGCCTCGCCACTGCAGCTGGCCGTCTTCTACAGTGCACTCTACACTCTCACCGTCGGAACCGGAGGGACCAAGGCCAACATCTCCACCATTGGAGCCGATCAGTTTGACGACTTCGACCCAAAAGAGAAGGTTCAGAAGCTGTCCTTCTTCAACTGGTGGTTTTTGAGCATCTTCTTCGGCACGCTCTTTTCCAACACCGTGCTCATCTATATCCAAGACTCTGTGGGTTGGACTCTTGGCTATGCGCTTCCCACTCTAGGGCTTGCAGTCTCCATCTTCATCTTCTTGTCAGGCACCTCCTTCTACAGGCACAAGTTGCCTTCGGGAAGTCCCTTCACCAGGATTGCTAGGGTCATCGTCTCTGCTTTCAGGAAATGGAGAGTCTTAACTCCTACTGACCCTAGGCAACTATATGAGCTTGACTTGCAGGAGTATACCAAGAAAGGAAAGTACAAGATTGATTCCACCTCAACTTTAAGGCATCTGATTTCTGTCCCTGATGTCTGGTTCACAATATCACTTAATTAATTAGCCAATATATAATTGTTTGCGTGTATGTGCAGGTTCTTGAACAAGGCCAGTGTCAAAATGGGAACCAGTTCTGGTAGTAGTAGTCCATGGATGCTATGCACAGTTACGGAAGTAGAAGAGACGAAACAAATGCTAATGATGATCCCAATCTTGCTGATCACCGTGCTTCCGAGCACAGTGATTGCTCAGACAAACACGCTCTTCGTAAAGCAAGGAACCACACTAGACCGACAGGTGGGAAACTTCGAAATTCCACCGGCAAGTCTGAACGCATTCGTCACCATCTCCTTGCTGACCTGCGTCGTCTTCTACGATCGTTTCTTCGTCCGCGTGATGCAGAGGATCACCAACAACCCCAGAGGCATCACGCTCCTTCAAAGAATGGGAATAGGCCTGGTCATACACATACTCATAATGGTGATCGCTTCGGTCACAGAAAGGCACAGGCTCAGAGTTGCCAGGCAACACGGCGTGGCGGAAAAAGACGGAGAGGTTCCTCTGAGTATTTTCATTCTGCTTCCTCAGTTCGTGCTGATGGGATGCGCCGACGCGCTTCTTGAGGTTGCCAAGATGGAGTTTTTCTACGACCAAGCTCCCGAGAGCATGAAGAGCCTTGGGGCCTCGTGTTCCCTTACATCTTTGGGGATTGGGAATTTTTTCAGCAGCTTTCTGCTTTCAACTGTGTCGCGCGTGACTTCAGCAGGTGGCCGCCGTGGGTGGATTTTGGACAACCTGAATATTTCTCATCTGGATTACTATTACGCCTTCTTCGCTGTGCTCAATATTATCAACTTTGCGATCTTCCTGGTTATTGCCAAGTTTCATGTGTACAAGGCGGAGGTTTCGGATTCCATCAAAGTGCTTGAGCAAGAGTTGAAGCAGAAATCATCAGTGCATGGTGACGGACAAGCAACTAGCGAGCAAGGAAACTTGAGCCATGCATAGAGAGGATGAAAGTGAACCCACCAGAAAAACAGAACTGAAACCAAATGAAACAAGTACATGAGTATGAAACATGATGCTCCATAACAAAAAGTTTGAACAGACACTGTTTCTTACCCCTGGTTCTAAAATATAAGACATTCTTTTAAAGATTTAGATATTAAAAAATATAAAATATTTTTAATTTTTTAAAATATAATTATTACTTTTTTTAAAAAAAATTACCTCTATTGATGGTGACTTTATATTTATTATAAAGTATTTAACAGGAGTAAATATGAAAAGATAAAGTTAGTTTGAAAGTGAGTAAAAAATTTATTGAATGATAAGATTCGATTAAAAATACCTTACATTTTTAAACAAAAAAATATCATTTATTTATTTATTATTTTAATTCATTATCACTGTATAATATAAAATTTTAAAAGACTGTGCACTTCATAAATTATAAATAATGTAGTTTTTCTTTTGCAAAGAGCCTTCAAAAAGTTAACTATATATGTTTATTGATCAAGTTTTTACTTACAACCAAAAAACATCATGGTGTGTTTGGTTTAAAAATAAGGGATTTTAATGAAGGGAAGGAGCGGGAAGGGGTTTTAATAAAATTTTATTTAGTTTAGGGAGAGAGAGGATAGGAATAAAAAATAAGTTAATAATTTTATTTTCATCAAATTTAACTTAATTTTTATTTTTTGTTTTGAAAAAAACAGTTATATTAGAATTTATTAAGTTTTTATTTTAAGAATATAAACTTATAGTAATAAAAAATTGAAGAAGAAATTATATTTTATCAGTGAATGAAAAATATTAAAATTTTATACATTAAAAAAATTATATATTAATTTTTGTAAGTTGATAAAATTTATTTTATTTTAAATATATTTGATTGGAAATTTTTGAAAATGACAGAATGAGAGGGGAGAAAGTTTGGTTAGTGATTAATAAAAAAAAAGAAAAACTCTTTATTTGATTAAAAAATTAGAGGGGAGGGGAGGGAGCCTCTCCCATCACCTCCTAAGCCTCCCCTCCAATTTGAAATTTTTTGGAGGGAAGAGAAAAGAGAAAATAATTAAAAAAATATAAATATTTATTTTAAAAATTCTAAACTATTTTTTATATTAAAAGATTATATATTATATTTCTTTGTCTCTTTCTTATAATAAAATAAATTTTATCATCTTAAAAAAAATTAATGTATAATTTTTTCATGTACAAATTTTAATATTTTTTATTAGACTCACTAATAAAATATAATTTGTCCTTCAAATTTTTTTTATTAATATAAATTTATATTCTTAAAAATAAAAACTTAATAAATTTTAATATAACAATTTTTTTAAAGCAAAAAATAAAAATCAAGTTACATTAGATAAAAATAAAATTGCTAACTTATTTTTAATTTTCCTCCCCTCTTCTTCCTTTTTAAATCAAACAAAAGTTTATTAAACTCCTCCCCTCCCCTATGTCAAAATTCCTTTCCTTTTCATTTCTCCTCGAACCATTTGATTGAAAGTTTTTGAAAAAAATGAGAAGAGTTACTCTCTTTTTTTTTATTTGGTTAGTAGTTAATAAAAGAAGGAGAGAAAAGCTTTTCGTTTGGTTAAAAAAATTAAAAGAAAAACCTTTTATTTGATTAAAAAATTAGAGGCTTCTCCAATTTAGAGCTTTTTAAAGGGGAGAAAGGAAAAAAAGTAATTAAAATAAATTTAAATATTTATTTTAAAAATTTTAAATTATTTTTAATATTAAATGATCATGTATCAACTTTTTCTCTTTAAAAAAACAGCTTTTTAATGTGGACACCTGATGGGGATCCACATTCTGTGGACACGGGTCAGCCGTGGATATGGCTATCCAAATTACTACGGTCTTTGCATCTCATTTTCTTCCATTTTGCCGGCGAAATTTCTAACAGCAAAGGGATAGCGTGAAAATCAGAAGCAATGGCATTGGCAGCTTCAGGGACTTCGGGAGTAGTATTGGCGAATAAGTTTAATCTGTGTTTCCTAAAAAACAAGACTTTAGGGTTGCCGTCATCGAGGGTCAGTGTGGCTTCAGAGCTTGGGTTCGTCTCTTCGCAATTGAGTGGCTTCAAAATTTCATATCCCCATTCACCTAGAGCCACACCCGCAGTTTCTGCCCCATTGTTACCTGCTTTACAACCCGTTGCTCGTAATTTCTTCTCCTTTTTTCTCACTCTCGTTCCTTTCCTTTTATTTTCAAAACCCTGCTACTTTTTGTCTGTATTTGACCGATTTATTTCGTTTCTCTGGACTTAATGCCAACATAATGTTTTGGCAACCGTATCATGCTTCAATTAAATGCTCTGTTGTTCGAACTCTGTTATTGTTTGTGTAAATTGAATACTCGGAATTGTAGGATTTGACTCCTAGCTGGTTATTGAAAATGCTTGAATTGAACGAAATTCGTCATGTAATGTGTGCAGAGGAACACCGAGCGCAAAAGAAATATTGTTCTTTTTTTTTTTTTTTCCTTTGATTCTTGTAAAATCCACAATTGCCATTAAGTTGTGTAACTAGTTATTTCTCTTTCCCTCTACTTTCTTTATATATGTCATATGGCTTTGCTAGGGGGCATGGCTGAATGGAATTAACCATTTCAAATTGTGCATAGCTTAATGCATAATGTACCAATGTATATTTCATTTCCGTTGTGCCTGGATAGAAAGAGTAATGGTGAAATCTACTCCATTTGCCACTTGATCTTTAGAGTGACACATGTGCACCGTTGCTAAGACTCATAATTTTTACTTTGAAACTGATGGGAGAAGTTGAGATATAATCGTCCAGCCTTTTATTTTTCGACAATGGCAAACTTTGTTATCAATAGTTTTTAAGGTGTCCGATTCTGAACATGGTAATGAATAGCGGTCGTGGTGGTAGAACTTGTTCAATTTATCGACTGGTTGTTTTTTTTCTTAGGAAGAGTGTGCCCCTTCACTGGAAAGAAAGCAAACAAGGCCAACAAAGTCTCATTCTCAAACCATAAGACGAAAAAGTTGCAATTTGTGAACCTGCAGTACAAGAAAGTATGGTGGGAAGCCGGGAAGCGCTATGTAAAGCTTCGTTTGTCAACTAAGGCGTTGAAGACTATAGAGAAGAATGGACTTGATGCTGTTGCAAAGAAGGCTGGAATTGATCTCAGTAAGAAATAACTGAATAAGTATATCCAATCTGATTATTATTGTATCCTCTGGAAGAACATGCCTAGCTCACAAAGTATTCTTGGTACATTTTCTTTTCTTTTTTAATGTATCTTATTTTCTCATATGTTTTCTTCCTCCCCCAACTCCTTATAATGTATCTTTATTTTTTATAAACTAGATTTGTTTTAAATTATTATGGCAAAATTCAAGTATTGTTATTGTTCATAAGGAATGAGAATGTGATAGTGTACGCTTGATTCTGAATGTAACACAAGGTATTAGCCTGGAGTTTCAGTTTTCTTCAGTGGCAGGGAGTTTCAAGTGGCATTTTTTCTTTTTGTTTTCTGCTTAGATATTCCAATGTTTCTTGTGAACCAGGGTAGGATTCATTAACGCCAAATATTTGAGATTTTCTCTATGGATAATGATGTTGTGTTTTTCATCCACGAAGTTCAACTTAAGAATCTAGTTGGAGAAAGAGAGTTAAAGAGAAGGGATAGAATACGAATGATCGCCTGAAAGATTACCTCAGATGCCAGATTCATCTGAAGTAAAAATGATGAAGTTATTATTTTTGTTAAAATTAAGGTAAAAAAATAACAAAACTATCACCTAAAGTTAATTCAAGCGTTCAAGATAGGGTGGGATATGGGTTGGAAGTAGAGTTTAAATGCTCATGATGTTTTAAAAAAAAAAAAACAAAGCGAGATTTGCAAAATACACCTTAAAAAACACAGCAATAAATTAATTTGGAACCACAGTAATTGTGATGTACACTTTGTTTCGTTGTACACTTTGTTTCGTTTATTGGTTTAACTGCTCATAATTTGTTTAGTTTGTTGTGATAACTAAAGAGAACACTTATAAAAATTATTGAACGAGATCTCTTAATTAACAATATTTTTAATATTTAAGGGCTTGGTTGATGACAGTATACTATGACATTGTACAATTTATATAATTGATCTCACTTAGTAAAAAAAGATTAGTCAAATTAAATAAAAGCTGGACATATGTCCTTATCGGTTGCTCAGTTGAGTCCATTTTTTCCATTTGTGGAGTTGCTGCCACTCTGATGAGTCGACAATGACAAAGTTGATAATTAATGGTGGCTGAGTGCTTACCCAATTACCATATAAAAAGGTTGAAGTAAAAAAGCAGCCTGCTGATTAAGAGGGCAGAATTTTTCATTGGTATTGGTTAGATTAATTTTAGTTGTAACAAAACAGTGATAATCCTGTTCTGTTTAAGTATTAAAAATTACTTTTAACAGTAAAACGATGAAGTCACTACGATAATTATGGAGAACCAAAATACACCTTAAAGCGCACAGCATACACCTTGTTAATTTTATTAGTTTATTTTTGCTTATAATGAATAACACATTAACAAAAAGCTGCTCCTATTTGTCTTTCTCTGTTAGTTTTTTTTTTTTTTGGTCAACGTATCTGTCTTTCTCGGTTGCTCTGTTTGAGTACATTTCTCTCATTTTGAAAATTAGTGGGGGCTCAGTGCTTCCCACTTATGAATCATGGAATCGGGACGTCCGGTTTCTGCTAATCATCGCTCTGTAAGATTACAAATTGATTTTCTCAACCATATCTAGTGGCCTTATTAATATACTATTGCTTATGCAACACCAACTCAGCCCTCACAGCCCCAAGCATCAAGCATCAGGTGAGGCGACCCCAGGTTTTGATTTTCAATGAGTTTGAATCCTAAAAGAAATAATTTTAAGGTTATGTTTGAATCTTTTGACAAGAAAAGTAGATAGAATGGAATTTTTCGATTAAGCACTTTCTTAAAGCATACAAATATAAATTTTAAATTTCAATTTTTTATTTTACAAAAACTAAATGCAAAATTCTACTCTGTTTAATTTAATCCTTTAATCAAAGTAAGGTGTCTTCAATGGAAGGATCCAGATTCTTGTGAGTAATGTCAACATGTGTGCACTAAAAACAATTGGACAATCATAATAACATCACCGTGTACAGGATCCAAGAGCTTACTGCAAAATCTATTATTAAGACCAGTTTCTTATAGCACTATATATTTCACCAAAAATTTACTCAAGATCCTTTCAAACTGTTTTTTACTCATCAGGATCTAGTGAACGGAACACTTGAATTTAGAGGTCTGGAAAGAGGAAGAAAAGGCTATGGAGTTCTGGAAACTCTTTATTGTTGCACTTATGCCAGTGCTCAAGGTACTTTTGGTTACTGCCGTTGGAGCATTCATTGCACTTGATTGCTTTGATATACTCAAGGACAATGCCAGGAAGCCCTTGAATTCTGTATGTTCACTGCTGTCTCCCTCTCTCTCTCCGGTTAAATTCACTAGTGGCTACTTCCTATAAACATCATACTCAAGTTGGTTAGAATGGAGACCTACGCCTGAAATTTAAGCTAACCCTTTGAGTATTGTTACTGATTTATTAATGGTATTTGGAAGTACATACTTTCTCCTTGTCAAAGGTTTAGACAAATTTCTATCTGGTTATTGCTTTAATTTTATGGAAATTGAAAGGAGGGTGAAAGACATGCAACGATATTGTTTCTCTCTTCTTCTTCTTCGCTTTGTTTTGTTTCTTGTGCAAGAGTGCTTGAAGATCACAAGTTATAAGGTGCTGCCATATGATACTATCTATCTATAGAAATGGTGAAAAATATATCCATCATCAAAGTTTTAGTCCCACATTTTGCTGATAGTAAGATCCAACATTTGTCTTGTATTCTTCTTTCTATGAAGATAAAAGTGACTGCAATGAGCTATTTTGTTGCCTGGAAATAATTAAACAGGTTATTGCTATGGGAACACATGGCATGAATTGCTAATGACTCTTAGCCTTATTGTCATCATTCTTGCCCCTTAAATAACAGAAAGAAATAGGCAAATGAAATATTCGGTGTCTTATAGTTAATACTAATCCTAGCACTTGTTCTGTGCAGATGGTGTATTATGTATTCACTCCAGCACTTCTTTCCAGCAACCTGGCAAAAACGTTAACATTAAAGAGCCTGGTTATACTGTATGATTGTTTCTCACTACTCTCCGCGTTTTCTTTTCTACCTACAACATTCGTCTTCATATCATTCAAGATTTGGTTTGACAGACACGCTTTCATGGATTATCTAGGTGGTTCATGCCCATAAACATTCTTCTCTCTTTCACCATTGGGACAGCATTTGGATGGTTAATTATTAAAATAACTAGAACTCCTCGTCATCTGCAAGGCCTTGTGTTGGGGTGCTGTAGTGCAGGCAGGTTCACTTATTGATTTGCAATTATCACTTTAAAGTCAATGTTGAATCTGGACGAAAATAAGTTTTCTTTGGCTGTTGTGGTCTGATTTGATCAGGAAATGTGGGAAATCTGCCTCTAATCATAGTTCCAGCTGTCTGTAAAGAAAGCAGTGGTGCTTTTGGAGATGTGGAAGCCTGTTACAGAAATGGGATGGCTTACGTTTCTATGTCAATGGCAGTATGATACTCCCTCCATTTTTATTTGTTAGAAACACTGTCACTTTTGATTTGCTTTTTTTTTTTTTAAATAAGCAAAATTAAATATCTCAATAAGCATTTATTATAGATTTCCTAAATTACCCCTCATAATTTACATTAATGAAAAATAATCAATGCATGTTTATGTTGATTAACACAAGGCATTTTAATATAATTTCTTTATTTTCAAATATAATTATTGTAGTTAACCAACTTTCTTAAATTGTGTAATATAATTTTTTTCTCTTATATATAGAAACGGAAGAAATACTTAATCTTAAGAGCACTTGGAAATTTTAAAAATGCTGATTATTTTATTTTCATTCTCTCATTTTTGAATTTTCAGATAGGATCAATTTACATTTGGTGCTATGTGTACAACATTGTGCGCATATACACATGTGAGATTTCCAATATAAACAGAGTCGATGATTCCACAGTAGCTTCAGTATCTGCAGCAGAAAGGGATCCTGAAAACCTTTCAGCCTGTTCCACAGGACAATTGGTCAATGTAGGGAAGATTTCACAGGAAAATGATCAGATGGGTCAACTTGAAATTGAATGTACAAACAGACAAGCAAAGGTTATTCAGTGGTCTGATATAATTAATTGGAACATGATGTGAACTCCTTCATTGAATGCGTTTCTTTCCCCTTGTTGTTTCCAATGAAATGTCAAATACAGCTCTTGGGATCAATTAGCATGATCGTTTGTCACTACAGTGTCACCCACCACCTGTCTTATGTCATAACGGAATGAAACAAACAGAATGATCTATAATTTTTGATGACATGTCTGCATAATACTTAATTCGGTGCGGAAGAATAAGGGATGATAAGATTAAGATACTATAGCAGGAGGAGTTTGGATCCTCTAAAGAGTAAAGTCTGTAAAATGATTTTAAAGTCAGGGAAAGATAAAACAGAAAAGGAGCGAATGAAAAGCGAAGGAGTGGAGCATGGAGACTCTCGTCCTTGTATTATTCTCTTATTTTATAGACACTGTATAATTCACAATTTAGAAGATCCCAATTAGAATAGGAGTGGGAAAAAACCCTCTATTCTTTTGATGTCAAAAGCATTTGATTGTAGAAATTTTGATTTGATTGTAGAAATTTTGATCTTACTTTTGTGTCATTCTCTCTTTTAATTTCGATGCCCTTTACAAGCTCCACACTTTAAGAAACGCAGAATAAAAGAGGGACCCCTGGGTATTTTTCGGATTTAACAAGAAATTAATTGTAACATTCTTTATCTTACACTTTTTTATTGTGTTGCAGGTACCAAAAAGGAAAAGATGATGAAACAGTTGAAAATGATAGCCAAAGGATCAACCTGAAGGCATTATTTGCACCTTCAACAACTGGATCGGTATGCAAAAATTATATAATTTCCCTTCATAATCTTCTTTTTTCTACTATTTCATTCAAATACATTGAAACCTTGTTAGTTCTTCCTAAAAAGGAAACCTCCTCTTCTTTCGCTTCTTGTAGATTGTTGGTATGGTAATTGGTGCAGTAGCTCCTCTTCAAAAGGTATTAATTGGTGATAATGCTCCTCTCCATGTAGTTCAAGACTCTGCATCCATGATTGGGTAAGCGAATTTTTTTCCTTTCTTGTTGACCTTGCCTTGATGTGGATAAGCAAGGTTTTTTCCTCTTCATGTAGTCCAAGATTCTTTCATATTGCTCATGCATTGATTATATTCATATGCTGGTTTTGTAGTGATGCAGCAGTTCCTGCTATCACCTTGTTAATCGGGGCGAACCTTCTCAAGGGTAGCCAATCATTAAGATACATTATTTCATTGAATTTTTCCATTAGGGGTTGAGTACAGTTCATCAGGTAACTTTATGAATGAATAAGAACTCAGACAGCAGAGGTGGATTTTTCAGGATTAAAAGGGTCAGGCATGCAGACTTCACTGATTGTTGGTGTCATAATTGTTCGGTTTATTGCACTGCCAGCAGTAGGTGTAGGCATTGTTAAAGGTGCTGTCCATTTTGGGTGGCTCCATCCTGATCCATTATATCAGTTTGTCTTACTGCTTCAATTTGCTCTTCCACCTGCTGTTGCCATAAGTAAGTAATGGTGATGTTCTTTTTCTAAATGATGGTGACATTCCATAAATTTGTGCTCTTGAGGATGGTATTTTGTGTTTGTATACATCAACGTCTCTGTCCCTGAAGGAGGACACATGTATTGCATGCATTCTTATCAGAGTATATCTTCTGAGTTCTAAACTTTCCAGTTTCAATTCCAATTGACAGCAAGATTTGAGGCATTTGTTGTTTAGGTTTTGTTTGGAAAAAGCATTAAAAGTTAGGGTTTTGCTTTTCCAGGTACAATGACACAGTTATTTGGGGTTGGTGTGGGGGAATGCTCTGTCATCATGCTAGCAACTTATTCCTGTGCTACAGTTTCACTCACTCTGTGGTGCGCATTCTTCATGTGGCTTGTTCTCTGATAAGCTTTGTTTCAACACCTTTTTTGAAGCTTCAAACAACGCACATGAAGATTCTCACGCATCCTTGTTGCATCAGTTCCTATCTTATGCAGAAGGAGAAGATGATGCTACATTAATTAGCTTATAATGTAACAATGTAGAGAAATTTGAATAAAGCCTTTGCTTGTTGGACGAAGCTAAAGTTAGCCTATGTATTTTTTTTTTTTTAAATAAAAGTTTTGTTAGCTATAGCTGTTATTAATGACTCTGTCTTCGAATGTTGAAAATTTTGGACATTCGGAGGAGATTCTCTTCATATGAACATTTTAAATTTCATTCTTGTTATTTTTTTTTAAATGAAATTATCATAATCACAAGAAATATAAAAATCGAATCAAATTGAAAACGATGTGTAGAAGGGCCGTTTGTTGATATGCACGTGCTGGCTGTGGGATCCTCTTTATAACTCCGTACAATGAATTTAAATACAAAAAAGTCTTATAAAATTCTAAAATTATTCTGAAATCTCATGTCAATAATTTTGCTCCAGGATTTGGTTTGAGCGTAATCCTCACCGGTGAATGAGCTCCATTGGTTTCCAAGTCACTTTTGAAAAGCAAGAATAAAATTTTAAAAAACAATGTACCACTAAAACAATATAAGCAAGCAGAAAGGTAGTATGTTATATTAAATTAAACATGAACCTCATTCCCTTAATTATGTACATGCAATTCAATTTGGTGTCGTTGTCTTGTCTGTCTGATGCAGCAAAATCCAACTTCCATTCTCTTACGTCACGGTTGGTTATGGTGTTCTTGTGATATTCTTTGTAATTTTATAAGCCTTTAAATATTTATATTTTCTTTTTAATCATGGGTGCATTAATTAACAAGTGCTGCTTCCCTGCAAAGCACTGGTTGGAAAGCATGGAATTGAATGCTCATTTCTATTCTCTCAGGACTATATTCCCACGGGCATGTCATCTCAACATCGTATATGCTTTTTTATTTAACAATCTCAATAATATTCTACTAGGTTGGGTTAATTATGTGAATCACATGACACCATTTATGCTCTATCATTAATTAAATTTTTAAGTATATTGCTAACAAAAAAAAATCTTGTTGAACAATTTCTTTTTTATATGTTCAAATTATTTTAAATGGTTCTCCATCATTTTCTCTTCATATGTATGCCCACACTTTAAAAATGAATATAATTTTATGACAGTTATTCTATAAAAAAAATGAACTTATTGTTTTAAAAATTGTAAATTGAAAACTTTAAATTCCCACCTATTTTATCACAACCACAAGCTCCAACAAATAAAATACAATGATATTTATCAATTATCAATTAAAGATAGAATGAGTAATACGGTTCTCGTAAGTTAAACAAATAGCTAAGGGATTGGATTTTAATGTTCGTTTTTGTAATAATTCAATGAAAAGAGGAGAAATATAAAAATATATATACAGTGATGTCAATATCAAACTTGTTTAAAAGACCTGACATCAATTAAGATGGCTCAATGACTCTCAAACTCTGTTGATTGTCGTCTTCAGAGATCAAGTTGATGGAAAGGGAAAGACAGGCCAAGGCCGGAGGGAATAAATGAATGCATGAGCCAGAAAAACTCACTTCTTTGCCGGAATGCAGCGTCTATCGATTTCTATTTGATGTATGCAGTAATAAAAATTTTCGATGTTTTAAATTTATTTTAATTATTGATTTGATTTCTACAACTTATTTTTTAAAAGTTTAAAACATCAATTAACTTTTAAATTAATTTAATTTATAAAATATTAATAACTTAACAATTAGTTATTAAATGAGTTTAATTTTTATTAATATATCTTATTCTCTTGTTTTTTTTAAAATTTGAGTCTGATTTTTCTTATTTAAATAATTACACATCTTTTCATTAATTTATATAGTTACTTTCAATATTCTCTTATCCATGTTATTAAATTTTAGCAATGTTACCTCATTTTTAAATAATAAATATTAAATCAATAATTGAAGCAAACTTAATAAATTTAATCAATAAAAATTAAATTTTAATAACTAAATTAATAATTAAGGTAAGTTTGAAGGATAAGAAATTATATTAAGCCAAACTTTAATTATTCATGCGTTTCAAAAGTGAATTGGAAACCAACGGATCTCATTCTATGGTGAGGAATATGATGCAGGACAAACAATGAAACCAAATCGTGGAGCAATATCTACAAACATCAACATCTGATCATTTGAGTTCAACTGGCCAAGGCAACTCATTTTCACCCCTTTTGCTCCGGCATACTAGCAAAGCCCGTAATATGAATGGTTTGATAGGTTCCCATTTAAACTGTTATGTTAGATCTTGGCCTTGAAAGATAAAATTTTTTAATGTAATTAGGTTTTTAAGTTCGACCTAACCTTGTAAAAACAAGTCGAAACTCAAATAATTTGTTTAAACTCATTCTTGTTTTATCTTTTAATTTTTTTAATTTTGAAATTAAATATATACTTCAAAATATATATTTATACTATAAAATTAGAATTTATAATTAAAAAAATGTCTAATATTAGAATGTAAAAATTAAATTTTAAAAAATAAAAAAAATCAAAAAGTGCTTACAACTAAACCTTGAGCACAATCAATAAGGGGTTGGATTTGAAAAAATAGCCGATTGGGCTTGGCCCATATGGGGCCATGCCTGAAACCCTATTTAGGGATGCTAGCATCTTGTGAGCACTTATTTAAACGTATATATCTCGTCAAGAATTTAATCAATAATATATAATAAGGACTTGAACTTGAGATCTTAGTTAAGGAAGACTAACTCCCTAACCAGTTGATCCAAGCATCTAATAATGAGGCAACACATCTTTAAAATAATAAAAAAATATTTGGTATGCAAAAAATATGTTCATTAAAAAAATAAGAAATGTAAAACGATGAGATAAATGTCTCAATTTTATTTCAACTATCAATTATTGATTTGGCCTCTAATTTCTATCGATTTAATTCTTTAGTTATCTCAATTATTAATTTAATTCTTATTATTTAAAAAGGAGATAACATGCTAAAATTTAATTACATGTAAATTAATAAAAAGAAGTGTGATTATTTAAGTGAAAAATGGACTCAAAAAATTTTAAAAACAAGAAAAAAAAAACGTAGCATAATTGATTATATTAATAAAAAATTAAATTAATTTGATGATTAATTTATTCTCCTCCCCACCCCGGGGGGCGCGTGCGCTGTGTGAAGTTGTTAATACTTCACACATGAGATTATTCCGATAGCTAATTTGTGCATTAAATAATTAAAACAAATTTGGTGTTTAAAAAAGTGCGGCTAACATATTACAATAAATAAGCAGAAAGGTGTGTTATTTAATATGAAGCACATTCCATTCATTTTTAAATACTCACAGTAATTAGTAAATTAAACTGTATCACCAGGTTTTCAAGCCATTATAATTATTTAGACTTTTTCCCCCCTATAATGGTCAGTGATTATTAAATTAAACTGTATAATCCAGGTCTACAGTCCATTATAAATATTCTATAATTGTATACGCATTGGCAAGTGCTGCTGCACTTTGAAGCGTTTTATAGTTGGCATAACATGGAATCCTCTTTTCATTTTTTATGATTGTATATATAATTTTTATAAAATTTTAATAAATCATATTGCCCATATCACAATTCATGAATAATCCCACTTATATTTTGAATTCTATGAAATGCATGAGACTCTAGTTTGTTTTTTTTTAATATAGAAGAATGCCCACCATCCAACTCATAATGCAAAGTCTCTTGACTCAAGTAGTTTAAAAAAAGGAAAATCACATCTGAGAACCTATTAAGAGTATTATTCTCAAACAAGCACCGACAACAAGTTACTATTAAAAAAAATCACTATTATCATTTTAATAATAAATAATTTTATATGGATCCTTAATTATGATAGTTATTCTGAGAAGTCTTTAAGTATGATTCTCCTTGTAAAGAATGGTTGCTTTGTTTAATATTTTTATTTTTAAATTTGAAATTATCTTTTTAAATGAATATGCTAATAATTAGTATTAGAGACAAAAATATCTTTTAATTAAGGGCTAAAGTTATTTTTTAAGAAAAAAATTATAAAACACTTGGCATTTGGCAACCACAACATCCTAACTTTTCACTCAAGTAATTACTTCTAACCTTGTTGGGATAGGAGGAAGATAGGCTCCTCATCCAATTTCTTGGAATCCTTTCATTTTTATAGCACTCAGCCTTTTGCATCACACTTTTTCATTTATATAAATCAATTTCAACATCATAAATAGATAGATAGTAAAGAACTATAATGAATGACTACTATAGAGGATTGATTGTTTGAATAATAACATTTTCTTTTTGTTTTTTTACTAAAATTTGGTAAAAAAAATTCTGCTTAAAAAAATTAAAAACCAGTCATTAAAGCATTAAGTTACCATATAGATAGGTCAGATGAATAGTTATTTGAAAAAATATTTTTAATTTACAATTTTAAAATTGAGTTATTTTTTATATTGAAACAGTGAGTAAAATATAAGAAATAAATGGTCTTAAATGTGAAGAAATGATGGGTGGAAGTTTTCAAAGCTTGATTTTGGAGTCTCATGTGGAATATCACGTGAATGAATGAGCCAGAAAATTCCCTAATTAGAAATATAGTAGTCTGGTACATCTCTGACCTTCACACTCCACCACCCAACACTTCATTAATTGGCAGGGGGACATCTTTGTATACAAAATCCATATCGAATCCAACTATTTATGGTGATATATGTAGTTAGTGTGTGTGCGTGTATGTATTATACTATTCCTCATTCTAAAATATAAATGAGAGTTTTTTTTATAATAATTATTTTTTTGGATGCTTTCCAAGTGGTCTTAATTATTTAGTGCATGAACCTTTTGCTGTCCCTTCTCTGCATCTTTCACAGTCATCATTTATATATGTGTGTGTGTCTAGAAGAATGACATCCAATGCCAATAATAACTTCATAAGCCGACTGCCCTGCTAGCACCTTCTTCCTTGTTATTATCAGTACAGATACTAAAAATAGGGGCACTGGCTAAGACATTAATTCAACGAGTAATGATTATAACGTATTTTTATTGAACTCATTTTTATTTAAACTGATGGAATTGACTTGATTTTCAATATTATATGTCATTAGTTATTGTACCCTTACCCTCTTTTCGAAGCACAAGTACAGAAAATTCCTTTGTTCTTTCTTTTTTTTTCCCCTCCACCCTGACGTCATGTTTTTTCTGCTTTATCTTCCCTGTTTTCTCTCCCAAGTTCATGCCTTCAAATTCTCTGGAGCTAACTTTTAGTCTTAGAGGTAAGGGAGCTTGTGTATGATCTAATCAACCCACAATTATCTAATTTTAACCGTTTGACAGATTGTTTTAGTTTGAAGAGACTCATCAAATAAAAATAAACTCGCACTATTGTTTCAAGCATATCCCCAGGGTGCTACTGTCTTGTGCGTCCCACTGCTTAGTGGTCCTGAAATTATATAATATTTATGCACACGCATGCACGTACACAACACATGCTTCTGAGGAGCCGTGCTCGAATTCTTGTCTCAGGCCAAAAATAATGACTCGAATTCCTGTCCGCCGAATATGAGGATGTTTACTTTGAGTCTATGTTTCACGAAGTTGGATGGTGAATGACAAGACAGAGAAAGAGAGGCATTTTCATTTTCCTTGTTTGAAAGAAGAAGGACGCCATGGAGTTCTGGAAACTCTTCGTCACCGCGTTAATGCCAGTCCTGAAGGTGCTCTTTCTCACTGCTGTTGGCACAATTCTGGCACTGGATCGATTTGGTATACTGAAGAAGGATGCTAGGATGCATCTCAACACTGTACGTTTCCTCCTTGTTCTTCGTTCCCTTGATTTCTGTTTTCTTTCTGCAGAACTGAATGCAGGATGAAAGCTATGATTTCTTATAGTACTTTTTCTCCTTCATAATCCAAATGAAAAATGGTAAAAGGGAGGAGTTCTAAGTTCTAACACAAGATTCATACTTGATTACCATCATCTGCTGCAGTCTCTATGAACTGAGTGTTAAAAAATTACAAGAAGCTGATAATTTTCTGAATATATGCTTCCTTTCTGTTTCCTGGCAGATTGTTGAATTGTCAGTTTTCTGAATATATTTCTTCCCCTGTGAACAACAAAAGGATGAAGGGAAAAATTAATATGTTTTCCTAACAACTAACATGTGCTGTTCTTTTTTCCCCCCTTTTCTTCAGATGGTATTTTTTGTCTTCATTCCTGCTCTTGCTCTTAGCAACCTGGCTGAAGCCATAACATTTAAGAGCCTAGTAATGCTGTATGTTTCTTTCTTTCTGCTTCATCCATTTCTTTTCCAAGTGGGAAGTTTACTTATCATTCATGCCTTTTATTAGTTTTTCTGCTTTCATTAACCATGTAGGTGGTTCATGCCATTAAATATTCTGCTGACTTTTATCATCGGGTCTGCACTCGGATGGTTACTTATTAAAATAACAAGAGCTCCTCGTCATTTACATGGGCTCGTGCTTGGATGCTGTTCAGCAGGCAAATTTTCTTTTATACTAGAAGTTGCTTTCCTAATAATCCTGTCATGCATAATTAAATTTGATACTATATTTAGAGTCTTTATTTTAGTTCCTTTTGTTGGAAGGCAAGGATCAAACTTTAGACACTTTGGCGATGGAGGTTTTGATGTTATCACATCAAGCGCTGGTTTAACTCAAAATCAATGACTAACAAAAAGTTTTGGTAGTGACTAAGGATGTCATGTTTATTATGACTATTTTGGGTTGGATGTCAGCAGGAAATTTGGGAAACATGCCTCTTATCATCGTTCCGGCTGTATGCAAAGAAAGAAGCAGACCTTTTGGAGATAAGGATGCCTGTAACAGAAATGGACTGGCATATGCTTCTCTATCCATGGCAGTAAGGCACCTTACTTTAAAAATTTGGGAAATAAATATGCTCATCAAATGGAAATCTTTAGAACCCCTGCACCAATAAGAAAATTTTCCTTACGTTTTTCTGACTTTTGAGTTTTTCAGCTAGGAAACATTTTCATATGGACTTATGTATACAACCTTGTCCGTATATCTTCATGCAAGAATTCCAAAGCAAATGACGTTGACGATTCCCCAATGAATCTGGTATCTTTGCCTGAAACCGGTCAAGAGAACACTTCAACCTGTCCAGTTGGACCATTGGTCTCTGCAGAGAATGTGTCGCAGGCAAATGACTTTGCCAGTGGACTTGAAATCGAGATTGCAAGGCCTGACGGAGTAGCAAAGGTTGCTCTGCATTCTTTTATATTTTAAATCGATATGTTCATTGTACTATAGTGTTTATATTTATGTTTTCTTGGGTCTCTTTCACTACTGAAATCTTGATTTTTCGTACCTTTAGTGTTAAGGAACATATGAGAATGATCATGATTAGTCCGAATACCATTTAGTGGCAAGGAATGAAAAGTGGAAATCATGTGCAACAAAAAATGCCTGCTTATAATGCCGTTTTATTATTTTCCAGTTAACAATTATCATTATTGCATTTGTATTTTTACATATAGTGACGCGTGAAAGTTTTAACCTTACATTTTTCCAGAGTTTGCAGGTAACCAAGCAGGCAAAAGTAAGGAAGCTATTAAAAAAATCAGCAGAAAAGATCAACCTGAAGGCTTTGTTAACTCCTGCAACAATTGGATCGGTATGACAAAAAGTTTCTTTTACTCTATTTTTGTTGTTTCTCTTGATTAATTGTGTGCGTGTGAGTGAGAGAGAGAGAGAGTGTAAACTCTAGCATGAAATAATAATAATAGTAGTAATAGTAGTAGTAATAGTAATAATAATAATAATAATAATAATAATATGCATCACTTACAGAAAGTTCATCATTGAAAAGCTAAAATGAGTACCAAGTAAAGTCGTTCTATAACTTATTTAGGCAAACTATGATATGAACATTATTCTGAAGGCATTGAAAGCAAGGCAACATTTGATATGTTTATACATGAAGCAAGTGAAATTTTCTGAACAAGACAGCAGGAATCAAAATATAAATGGGCAATTCTGTGAGACTTGAGGGAGCTACCTTTTCTTGATATAAAGTTTTTAGACTATCACCAGCATAGCCATATGTACACTATAAAAAGTGAAAGGAAAGAAACTCGAAGAAGCAATGAAAGAAAAGCAATATCTTTTCAAAAAGTTATTTCAAAGATGCTGTTGTTTACCATGCCGTATTATTTGTTAGCAAGGATACCTCCTCTGACCCTTTTCCATATGTAGATTATTGGCTTAATAATCGGTGCAATCCCTCAATTGCAAAAGATATTAGTTGGTGAAAATGCTCCTCTTCACGTAATTGAAGACTCTATATCCATGCTGGGGTAAGTAGGATTTTCTATCTTGATCATGTTCAAGAAAACAGATGTACTCATTTTACACAGCTGAAATATATTCTATGATTTTTCTTTTCTTTCTAATGTGCAGCGATGCGGCCATTCCAGCTATGACCTTGTTAGTTGGGGCAAATCTCCTAAATGGTAATCAAGAACATGAGCTTTTAGTGTTGAATTTCCATTTTAGGTTAATTTCATTTACGTAATTTCTTTTCAAAATAAACAAGATTTTAATGACAGATGCTGGATTTTCTTCAGGTTTGAAAGGATCAAGCATGCAATTTCCAATTATTATAGGGATCATCATTGTTAGATATCTTGCCTTGCCAGCCTTTGGTGTTGGCATTCTTAAAGGTGCAATCCACATAGGCTTGATCCACCATGATCCATTATATAAATTTCTTTTACTCCTTCAATATGCTCTTCCACCTGCAGTAAGCATAAGTAAGTTGATTATCCCACTTAAACACGACAATTTCTTCTTGCAGTGTTACTCTAATAAATTTAATTTTTGTTATGAAAGTACTCCGTTGCAACATTATAAGCCATAGGCTTCATATCACAGCCAAGAGTTGGAAGTTCGAAGGGTCTCTTGCTGGTAAATATAATTTAGTTGCGATTATATTCATTGACCTTTTTACTTTTATGACTTTGTCAGGTACAATTACTCAGTTATTTGGGGCTGGTGTCGGGGAATGCTCAGTTGTAATGCTAGCAACTTATGTCTGTGCCTCTGCTTCGCTTACTCTATGGTCCACATTCTTCATGTGGCTTGTGCTATAGCGGTTTTCTTGCCAACCTCAAAGCAAAGCATGTTACAGTCTCAAAAGATCTCAAAATAGGAAAAGGAAAAGGCTGAGGAAGCATCGCAAACACTGCTGAGCTATGCTAGCAAAGAACTACATTACTCTGTAGTGGAATCAATGATTACACCAAAATGTTTTCCATTATCATGACATTTCAGATGCTGTGAATTACTCTTTTGGATACTTATTATAGAACATTTTCAATCGTTTCACATATCTTAAAAAAATTATTTTTTTCTTGATATCATAAAAAGGTAAATGTACTTTTAAGTTTATCCTTGATTTTAAATAATAACATATTTAAATTAAATACATTCACGCTAATTAAGAAATATTAAAATTAAAAAAAATAATTTAATTATTATAAAGTATCTTATATTTTGAATAAAAAATTATTTTTAAAAAATGTTTTATAAATAAAACCAAGGAAAATAACTGTTTTGAATTGAGTGGCTTGTACAATGAATAGTACAGTCCACAACAACAGTTCTGCTCAAATTTTGGTGGCTTCTCACTATCTACACAAAAAGTCCATTCAGAAAACGTCCGCTAAAAATTACTCCAATTCTGACCACAGTCCTCCCAACTTGGACCACAACTTTTGAAATTAAGATCCAATGCCAATAAATAAATGCTTTTGATGGTTAGTTGAGTTTTTATATGTTAAATATTTTTTATTTTAATAAGCACATAATATAAAAAATTAGGAATTAAAAATTGTATATTTAAGTCTCCAAATTCAATTTAAGTAGTTTCACCCGAGTTTTCCCATTAATCCCCTTGTTTAAAATTTTTTAAACGGCTTCTCGATGCTTGCATCATACGTCTCATCCATCATATTCCTTTATATATATATATATATATATATTAAAAAATACACTTGATAAATTTTCTGCACTTCAAACTATCCACGAATCTATCCTTTGTGTGTGTGTGTGTGTGTGTGTGTGTGTGTGTGTGTCGACATTCAAATATACTTGGATTGGATATGTTTGTTAGAGCATGGGATACCAGAAGACGTTAGAAGTATGAAGCATATGGTGGCTAGAAGTCGGACTTTAGCCGAAATAGTTGAGCATGTTTTCTTCTCACAGGCTTACAAGTGTACTAAGTGGTGTTTCCAAGCGAGTCACTGTTCACTCTTACGGCTTGCAAATTTGCAATATGCAGAGCTTAACTTACTTGTCTCAAGTTTTCCTCTCCTTCTTTATCCTTCTGCTCTGTCGTTTAGCTTCCTTCCTATCCAATGGAGCTTGCTTTTCTGTCTGAGAGCAGTTTGCAGGTTCTCTGGACCATGACCTTTCTTTCTTTTTCTTCCACTTAACCAGACTCCTATCTCCAATATCTTTCTTATTCTTTTTCATGGGTGATTTCTGGACACGCTTTTGATGATATCTGCTGGTTTTGTTTGCTAAACAAGTGAAAAGAATGATAATAATCAACAGGTTTTGTTACATTTTGCTTCTTTCCTCTTTTATTCCCCACAAAATTTAATGAACCCACTTTTTAGTCCACAGCTGTCCTAGTCACCTTCCATGAATGCAGACTGTCAGCCATTAATATCTGGGAGCTATTTAAAAAAATAAATTAATTAATTAAAGCGAAGGACTAATTCCAATATACTGTAGAACTACAGGGACAGAAGGTTTAATTTTCCCAGAACAAGTTACATCCCCAAAAGTTCAAAGTAATATGAAGCCACAGTCATCGAATTTTCATACATCACTCAAAAGTTCAAAGCAAAAGTGGACTAACAGAACCTTATAGGCAAATTCATGCCAGGAAAAAGATAACAGAGAGAGAATATTGCTAAATTTTTACCAATAATTTTCAAATCAAAGTTGAATGGACCATCTAGCAAATTTTCTTCCTTGGAGCGCCTATAGAATGTTTCTGTTGACGCCAATCGTTCAATTGGTTAAAGGACGGTGATGCTTCACTCAGTAGCAACAAATGTGCAGTCAATTAGTCAATGTCTTATAAATGTTTGATCAATATATTGGGATTAATCATATAAATTGGGTTCCACAGGGCTGATGCGCTAGACTATTTTTTTTTTTTTTTGGTAATTAGGGAAAAAGACACCATGGACTTCTGGAGTCTCTTTACTGCATTAATGCCAATCCTAAAGGTACTCTTGATCGCTATTGTTGGGATAATTCTAGCTCTGGATCGATTTAGTATACCCTTTTTCTTTTTGTGTCAGATGGTATTTCTTGTCTTCATTCCTAGCAAAAAGCCATGACAATTAAGATCCTTGTCACGCTGTATGTTCTTTACTCACAACTTGTTGCATTTTCTTTTCCTTTCTTTTCTAAGTCGGAAAATTTAGTGTCCATGAATTTATTTTGTTAGCTTTTAGGCTTTCCTTAAATGTGCAGGTGGCTCATGCCAATAAATATTCTCCTCAAGTTTATCATCGGTTCTGCAATCGGATGGTTACTTGTTATAATAAGAGTTCCTCATCTTGGTGCAGGTGGCTCAGGTGGCTCATTTAGTAGCTCATGCCAATAAATGTGCAAGGGCTTATCTTGGGATGCTGTGCAGCAGGCAGGTCCACTTATGGACTAAAAGTTGCTTTTCTGATTATTTCATTATACAAATCAGGTTATTTGAGCTTATAATGGAGCCTTCATCAATATTTTTTACGCTTGCTATAACATAAAAGTCCGCCAATACTGGGCAAGGATCAAACCACAGAAAATTTAGTCATACCATATCAATTACCACCCGTTTAACTCCAAATAAATAAACAGATCAAAATTTCCTGTTTTAGAGATATACAGTAGCTGGAGAGAAAGAGAGAGACTTGGAACTAAGGATGTTGTGTTTCTAGCTATTTTCGGTGTTGTCAACAGGAAATATGGCAACATGTCTCTTATCATTATGCCTGCTATATGTAATGAAGCAAGCAGTCCATTTGGAGATAAGGATGTCTGTAACGGAAATGGATTGGCAAATGCTTCTCTGACCCTGGCAGTAAGGCACTAACTTCCAAAAATTGGGAAATTAGTATGTTAATCAACGGCAAACTTTTGAAATTTTTCTAATTTTAGATTTTTCAGCTGGGAAACATTTTCATTTGGACTTATATCTACAACCTTGTCGGGTATACTCATGCAAGAGTTCCAATGCAAATTCCCAAGTAAAGCTGTTGTCTAAACCAGAAACTGATCCTGAAAATGCTTCGTCATGTTAAATAGAGCCATTGATCACTCCACAGTCCACAGAACATCTCGCAAACAAATGACAGCGCCATTGGACCTGAAACTGAAAGTGCAATGCCAGAGGGCGATGATGAAAGTTTTTCAACATTCTAATATAATTTAAAGCAATATATTCACTCTATATTGTATATATTTTTATTTCCTTTGAACCCTTTCACTGGTGAAGTCTTGATTTTTAGTACATTTGGTTTAATGTGAACGGTAATATTTGAGACTAATTGCGATTTGTCCAAAAAACCATTTAAGGGAAAAACTTGAATAGTAAATTTGGACTGCCATTCTGCACAGTACTTCATTGATGAACAATAAATGTCATTTCATCTGTATGTTTATACATGCAAGGCATAGGATAGAAGTTTCTGACTTTTTTTTCAGAGTTTGCAGGTAACGAAACAGGAAAAGATAATGAAGCTTTTCAAAACATTAGTAGAAAAGATCAATCTGAAGGCCCTGTTAGCACCAGCAACAATTGGATTGGTATGGCAGTAGTTCCTTTGAGACACTTAAGACTTTACAATAGGGAAAGGAGAGAAAAGGAGGCAGCAAGGAAGGTAAAGGAATTTCCTTTCTGAAAGTCCTTCCAATTAAGCCGTTGTTTACCAAAACCCTTGTTTGCCAGCAAGGATACATCCTCTGACTCTGACCCTTTTCCACATGTAGATTTTTGGCTTGATACTTGGTGTAGTCCCTCAATTTCATAAGGCTTTAGTCGGTGATACTGCTTCTCTTCATGTGGTTGAAAACTCCATATCCATGCTGGGCTAAGTATTGCATCCTTTTTTTGGGCCTAGAGTTTTGTATCTTGAAGACTGTAGGTTAATATGGGTCGCAGGTTTCAGCAGGTAGACTAAAACACAGAAGATACTCTAAGTGACTCTCGTGAGAAATCTTACATGGGGAAAAAAAAAGCAAAAAAAATTACCTCATCATGCTCAAGAAAATCGGTGAAATTTTTTTAGACAGCTCAAATATGTTGTATAATTTGTTTTATATTTGCAGTGATGCCGCCATTCCAACTATGACCTTGTTAGCTGGGGCAGCAAATATACTTGATGGTAATCAAGGACATGAATATTTGGTGTTTAATTTCAATTTAAGTTCATTGAAGTCATTGCTTCTTAAAATAAACAAGATTTTAATGATAGTTATTGGATTTTCGTCAGGTTTAGAAGGATCAGGTATGCAGTTTTCAATTATTTGTAGAATCCTTGTTGTCAGATACATTGCCTTACCACTATGTGGTGTAGGCATTCTTAAAGGCGCAATGCGTGTTGGCATGATTCACCCTGATCCATTATATCTGTTTCTTTTACTGCTTCAATATTCTTTTCCACCTGCAATGAGCATAAGTAAGTTGATTGCCCAAGATTACAATTTACCGCTACTTATATTACTCTAATAGGTTCATTTTTTTTAGCAAGGCACGCAGCGTTTTGTAACATCATGAGGACTTCACAGATGCAGTTTCTCGGCCTTGCATCATGTTTATTTGTAGGCATTTTTATAGCGAAGTTCAAGATTAATAAACTCTTTTCTGTTTTTGGTTAAGAAAACAATTCGGTATTCCTAGAACTTCTGCTATATACTATGCCCAAGATTTTTTCCATTTAAATTTCAACAAATGCTTAAACCATTTCTTGCTTATAATTTAATTGAGACAATATTTCTAGTTTCTTGATTATGCCAGGTACAATCACTCACATGTTTGGGGCTGGTGCGAGTGAATGCTCACTTGTCATTCTAGTAACTTATGCCTGTGCTGCAGTTTCACTTACTCTCTTGTTCACATTTTTCATGTGGCTGATCCTATAGCCTTTTTTTCTGTTGCACTGCCTCTTCTAGTGTCTCCCTTTCAAAGTAAAGCATATTGAAGTCCTCATAGATCTCAAATTAAAAATCAGAGAAAGTGAAGGAAGATTTGGACATTAGGATTACATAGTGCAAACACTAGTGCATTATTCTAGCAAAGAACTTCATTAATTCATGACTTGATCAGTATTTACCCTAAAATGATTTTCATCATTGTTCCATTTCACATGGTGTGAACCGATTGTTCAAAGAAGAACTGCTTAAATTATAAAGATCAGTGATCAGTTATCACTGCTGGTTGTATAGTGCAGTCCATATCATAAATGGTTGTATTTTATAAAACGAGCACCATAAAAAGTGAAATGAATTCAACAAGGAATAAGAGAAAATAAATGGTTACATGTTCATCCAACTTCTAGATAACAAGTTGATTTAAGCCAGTGTTCGAGGAAAGCTCTCTTTTCGCAATAAATTTAAAAAGTAAATATTTTTCAGTTTGGACCTTCCTTTTTCAAATTCGACAGACAGAAATTATCTGCGCAGATATGGACAAATTTTGTTTCCTGAACATTGCACACTAACTGCAGCAAAATTGCTGGTAGCATCCTAGCTACGAGCTACTATTAATGATTAATCAAATGTACAAGAGAAATATACTATCCTCTTCCTTCTCCCTTTCTGTTCCGCAAAAAATACAACGATGATTATTTTGAGTTGAAATACAATTCACCCTTATTTTGCAGAAAAAGTACAGTTCTGTCTGAACCCGAAAAGTTCTCAATTCCACAACGAAAAACTTCGGTAGGCATAATTTACACAAAGAATTAGCAGATGAAGCACATGTATCTCTTTATGATTAGCTTAAATTACTCATCTTTTTGTAAACCGGGGCCACCTAAATACCTTTCGTTCCAGAAAATTTCACTCAATTTTTAGCAATCTACTCCCTCCCCCACAAAGTTCCATTAAGCTCTTTCTTTTTTTCTTGAAAGGGAAGAATTCTGTGCTAACAGAGCAATGCATTGCAACATTGGATACCCGTGCTTGAACTTATCAGACTTGATCTCATCTTCTCTTTGCCAACTGGAATGTCCTCTTCAAGAATTGATTTGCAGCTCTATCATTTCTGTGGCACAATACCCTCAGTATTGTGTTGGGGTCTGATCTATTCCACCTTCCTGTGGTTGGAGGCATTGGCAACTTCTGCCCAATTCCCATCATTCCTATCCCACTTGTCTCACAGGTTATAATGCTGAAATCTTCCACCAATTGATCAGTACTGTGACCCATTAAGTCTATGACTCCCTCCACCACCTCAGCCTCTCTCTGCACCACTTCCTCTGCTATTAGTCCCTCTCCACAAGTGCAAAAACCTTCTTCAAGCTCTCAAAATCCTCTTGGATCATCTGGTGATCTGACCGGTTGAACACGCGTGAGCTTCCACCAGCAAGCAGAACCATAAGGAATGACTCAAATGAGGCCTTCATGACTTCCTTCATTGCCAAGGCTTGTGCTCTGTCTGTGAGGATTGCAGCCATAACTGTAAGGTTCTGCTTGAGGGTTCTCAATGCAGGGCGAATCCGGGAGTTGGCTACATCACCAAGATAGAGACCGTCATAGAAGCCAGAGCTTGAGTCAAGGAAGATCAGACGATAGGCTGCAACTTCTGAGACATATTGGCAGGCTGCTTGGATGGAAGTGGTCACAAGGTCAAAGTATGCTGAGCTAGTAGCACTTGGTGGCCTGCCTCCTCTGCTTCCCAGGCAATGGCGGCTGGAAGGAACTACTCCTGACTTCAGCGAGAGGAATCTGTCAAGGGATTGGATGCTTGAAATCAGGTAGTGCAAGGTATTAAGACGAACGTAGAGTCGTTGTGTGCCACGACTCGTTGATGGCTTAGGATGATGCCCTTCATTGGTTTCGTTCATGCTTTGCTCTTCTGATGTCATGCTGCAAGGGGCTGCTTTCCTCCATAGCTTCAGAAACTTGGAGTCTCTGTTGCATCTAGTTAGCGGGGGAAGCGATGGAATATAGCTCTGCTTTGAACCTGAATCACAGTAAGTTTTGGGGGAAAAATTGTTCATCTACTATTAACAGTTTCAAGATTTGGAAATGAGTTGTCAGTTCTTAGTTCTTACCACATGCTGCAACGAATGAGGTGTAGTTCTGGAAAATACTTTCCACTCCCTCAGCAAGATCTACAACCACATCTTCTGTAATTCCTATTGGGATCTTAAAGAACTCTTCCACCGTTGCCTTTGCCAAGTTCATCAATTCCACAGCTGATAGTGCATGTTGCTCGGATTTGGACTTGGGATTCCATGTCTACGTCAGGAGGAACATGAAATTACAAAACCATAATATTCTGTTCTCAAAACTTAATGACAAGTGCTGTGCACTGGTTAGTCATTAGTGGTTCGAAAAATAATACAAGGACTAATTTATTGTGCGGTGTTATTTTTGAAAACTAATTCAAGCCTCATATAAATGACAACAATGCATGAAGCCAAAACTTACTTCAATTTCTTTTGCTCTAAGAAAACACTCTTTCCCTCTGTCGAGTGATTCATCAATCCATCTTCTCAAGAAGTTCAGAACGACAGAATCAACTTCATACGGAACCATCTCTCTCACAACGGCTTTGCCACCATCGTCACAATCATTGGATTCCTCAACCACCATTTGGACCAAGAGCTTTTCAAGCCTTCCAGCTCTCTGCAACACGTCAACCATTTCAGTGGTGAGTGAATTGACTCCACCCAGGTACTGCCTCAGCACATGCCCATAGCAGTTGTGCAGCGTCAGTGCAGCCACAGCGCATGCCGTTGGCTGCCATTTACTCAAAACTGGGCTAAAACTTTCCCTCTCCTTCATTGCCAATTCTTCAGTCTTCTGGGCTAATCGAAGCAGAACCTGACTCATCTCTTCCTTTATTTCAGATTCAGCTGCTTTTTCGTTCTCCGTGTCTATCATCTGCAGTCATATATAAAAGAGGAAGCTGATACATACAGAATGAAGATGGAAGATGAGCTATAGTTGAAATAACCAACCTTGTCAAAAGCATTCTTGAGGGAAGAACGAATACAATAGTCAATCCGATCGCCGGAGGAATCGACAATGGTAACGTCAGGGCCTTCCACTTCAGAGATGATAACGTCTTCACCCAGAATTTTGGAGGCCAACAAAACCAGTGGAAGAAGGTTCTCGATCTGCCCAACCGTCCCTCTCACGTAATACTCATGGTAATTCACCAACTTCTTCTCGGCCCACTCCAGAACCGATCCCAACACCGACGATAATATCTTCACATACAGCGCCTCCTTCTCCTTCTTGGCGTCAGCCGCCACATCATTTAACATGGCGTACGCCGCGCTCAGAAGATCCGACTCTACCTGCCCCGTCTCAACGTACTGCAGAAACAACACCCACGTGAAGCACACGTTATGAATGGGCCTGGAAATCCCTAGAGTGGACCAGGTCTTCTTCAGGAGCTCGAGAAGCTCATCCACCTCGTCCAGAACTAAGGTTTCGTCACGAATGTCGAAGATGGCTTGGAGGAGGGAGGAGTAGAGGTGCATGTTGACGGGATAGCCATCGACCCAGTGACAGACATCGGTGGGGGTGCCGTTGGAGCTGCGCCAGGACAAGGAGACGACGGAGTTGCAGAGGGTTCGCATGGTGTCGGAGTTCTTGCCAGTGTCGAGGGGTTTTGAGCCCCCGGATTTGATTATGTCCCTGAGACGCATGGCGAAAGTGTTGTTCTTCTCGAGAGGAATGGAAGGATGAAGAAGGAGACCAGCTTCCAAGATCTTGAGTTGTCTCTTTTGCCACATGTGGTACTCGTTCGAGTCGTTGAACTCCGATGGCTTCAGCTGCCTCAATAGTTCCAGAGGTAGGATTATCGTCTCTGCTCTCCTTCCCACCTGCCATACCACACGCCACCCTCGTCAATTGCT